GACAAATAATTTATAGATCTCAGATAAAGTCAAACACTGCTGGCAACAGGACAGAGAAGAATACACGCACTATATAAAAACAGGAAGCAACATTCAATGCAATATCAAGTGCATTAAATGAAAGGATCAAACTAGTCATGAACGACTATGTCAACTTCAACGGACACTTGCAACGGGCAGATCCTACAAGATAATATATATATCGCTATCTCAAACCTTGAAAGGTTGGCTTCCATATTTGCATGCTTAACCAAGTGATATCAAGCCCATATAGCAACGAAGCCAGAGACAGAGCGTATAGAGTCAAATGTACCATAGTATATTCATCTTTGTAAACTAAGGAGTTCCAAACGTGTACACCTTAGGAACAAAACCTTAGTGAGTGTAGAAACTTATGTATCCTCTCCGTGAGAGTAAACCAAACACTCAATCATTGCAAAGACTAAGGTTGCATATCTTAGTGAGTGTAGAAATATATGTATCCTCTCTATGAGAGTAAACCATACACTTAAACCAAACCTGTCTAGCCAATACGATAAAGCCTGAAGAGGCTAGGAAAAGAATACTTGTAAAGCCCGGAGGGGCTTGTCAAAGAATACTCACTACGAGCTTGAAGAGGCTGATTAAAGAATACTAGCGCTGGTGAGTGAAGCTAGCGGGCTAGGAGTGGTCGAGAATACTTGGACCAGGAGTGGTTTTGACCTGGACGGTCCATAATACTCACTGCTAGCCAAAAGTGACTGATAAGAATATACTAGTGCTGGTGAGTGAAGCTGGCGGGCCACGAGTGGTCGAGAATACTTGGGGAATCAGAAGTGGTTTAAGAATACTAGAGCTGGTAAGTGAAGCTAGCCAACCAGGAGTGGTTGAGAATACTCGTGACTAGGAGTGGCCGTGACCGGGATGGTCTAGAATACTCAAGGCCTAGAGAGGTCAAGAATACTTGGACCAGGAGTGGTTTTGACCTGGGTGGTCTATAATACTCATTGCTAGCCTGGAGAGGCTGATAAGAAGATACTAGTGTTGATGAGTGAAGTCAACGGGCCAGAAGTGGTCGACAATACTTTTGTACTTAATTACATATTTAGTGGAATCCATCGGTTGAAGGAGACTGGACGTAGCTCAGTCTAAGTGAACCAATATAAAATTGATTGCAGTGTTTTATTTATATTTCAGACGTAAACTTTTCTTAATTGACAAATCATGTTAAAAACTTCGTCTACTGTCTATTCTTCATTAAAACCATTTTTCAGACGAAGACGCAAATTTTGTTTAACAAATATATTATACTGAAAAGTTTTATCTACTGCTTATCTTTAAATGAAACTATGTTGAAAAGGAAAATGCAAGAACCTTAATCATTATTGTTATATGAAACATTTTCCTTCAGCAGTCGATAAATCGTTCAGACGTAGTGACACTGTGTTAAGAAAATTCTGCATAACAGTCTTGTATTTAAAAGTGCATTGGACTAAGAAAACTTCTCTTGCAAAAATGATTTTAAAATTTCTTCGTACTCACAAACACATATTCAAGCCCTCCTTCTATGTGTTTTTCCGCTGACTTCACATTGCATTAATGCATGTGTGTCAACCATCGCATTTCTTGATGACCCATTTATTATTCAACCTACTTGGCATTATTGCTCTTATCTTCCAAGGAAAATCATCATTGTTGTTTGGACACTTTAAGGACAAAACCTTTAAACCAGATTCAATGATACAAAAAGTATGATATACATTTGTTGAATAATGTTTTACAACCATTTTCACATCAACCTTAGTGTGAAATCTCAATCCAACATACAGTTCTTCCCCCACATGCCATGAACTAGGGACATCTAAACAAGTAAATCATGTCTCTTAATCAGGGTGGGACCAATCAATGTATGTGTAATGTGATATCAAATTCCAAAACGGGGTTGCAATTTGCCCTACAAGACAAATAAGGCATGTTAAATGAATTATTTTGACAATACATATACTACAAAATAATATTGACAAAAAAATCATTACTTTGTTTGTTATTAGTAGGAGGTGTTGTGTCAAATGAAGATTGAACATTTGTCATAGGGTTAAGATTTGCATCAAAATCACCTTCAACATTTGTGTTGGATGAGTTACCATCAAGAATGTGTGTTTCCTCATGTACCTTCCCATCATCATCACTAAAGTTGGGTGTAAGTTTAACATTTGAATCTAGATGATTTGGAAGGGGAGAAATATTTTTATCTATCTGATCTTCACTTTGAATGACATGCAAGTGTTCTTCAATAACGGGGACATTGTGTTTATAATGAGTTGATCTAGTGTTAACATTTGGGTTAGTCTCATTTGTAATTACATTAGCCAAAGGAGTTGAAGGACCAACAATATCAAGTTCAAAATATAACTTGATCATGATGTTATTAAACTGGCTTTGAAAAGCGTCAAACATGACTTCAGTATCTTCATCGTTTGAAACATCACAACCTTCGTACTTTGGTGGATTAATGGAATGAAGATACCTACAAATGATATAATTAATCACTTAATGATCATGTAGTTTAATTTTATTGTGAATTTTTCTTTTCAAGAAAGAAAAATTAATTTCATGACTAAGGCGAATAGTTTTTGTTTGACCAACAAATGATAAACCTTAATCATCACTATATTTTTGCCCGTTAAAATAAAACACACAAATTAAAGTCATTTTCAATCAAACAACAAATAACTTTTGATTCTCCACTCAAATTATTCATACAAAACATACCTCAAGTGGTTCCGTATGCATGCATACGTACATACCTCAAGGTGTTTCCGTATTACAGAGTGAAGAGCTTACGTTGAAAATAAATTTTAGTTATTTTTATTTTCATCGTGATAATTGTTTCTATATAATGTATTTTTAATCAATTTTAATAATTACGGATACTCTTTAATATTTACATTCCTAGAAATCAATGTTCACGTAATATTTTCATGCAAATTAATTGCATAAACAAAAACGTATACTTCATAAGTTATCCGCTTGAATGAATTGTAAAATAATTGTATGCGGCCACTAGGTCCTGCAGGGTTTGACAAAAAAGATAAAAAAAGGAATAAGAAATTACATTAAAAGGTGAAGTGTATTTATTTTTAACATAAACAAACTGGATATTAACATGTAGACAATAGGCATACAAATAATAAAGGTTTTCTTATGAAGGTAGGGGTAGAATCCAATTTATCAAAAGGACTACCTATTGATGCAATCATGTGGAAGTGAAATTCTTGGTAAGGTGATGAGACACAAAGGGGGTTGAATTGTGCTTGTTGGGATTTTCTTCATATTGAATAAATTGATTCAGGGCTTTAGGCGATGACTTCAATGTCAGATTCTGGTGTCCTAATTGGAACACTCAATATGGGGCTACGGCAAACTGGGTTACTGGGCCTCCTCAACAAGAAGAGTACCGTGGTCTTTGGTAATATGAATATTGGAATACAAATACTTTTTTTTTTGTTTATTTTTTTTTTGTCTATCTAATATACTACTACTCTCCCTAAACCTATGCTTAAACAAAAATAACTTAATTTCATATATATTAAGAAAATTAATTAAGTGTATTTAATTTTCACAATTTCATATATAATATATACTACATTTTCTAAAATATTTTTTTATCACATTTATTGTAGATAATGCTCCCTTTTATTATTTTAGGAGCATTTTTGGATTAAGATCATTAAATAAAATTGACTTTGTTGAAATTTGATTAATTTCAATCCAAAAATTTTAAACATTCTTTTTTTGTTTAGAGGGAGTATAAGCAAAATAGTTATTAAATTTTTTGTACTCAAATATAAAAAAATTTCAATCAACTCAACTTTATTTAATGTTCTTAATTTCGACGTACCCATTCTACAATAAATGAGAGCATTATCAGCGATAAATATAATTAAAGATATCTCAATAAATATAGTACATATTTTATATGAAATCATAAAAACTAAATGCATTGAAGTATTTTAGTTAATTTGTGAAATGAGTTTTTTTTCTTCTTATATATAGGTCTAGGTCTTAAAAGAGTACATATTTATCATTTTTTGTCCCTAAAAATCTTTAGATCCCTACAATTTTTATTTGCATTTTTTCCTACATGTCATTACTTTCTCATTTTTTACGCATGACGTGTAAAACATTAAGCAAGTTAAATTCACTTGAAAGAATATTCATTTAACAGACGCATCATACAAAACAGTAAATAAAATAATTGTAGAAGAAAAAAAAAGAGAAACCAAATGTTAAAAAAAATAAACAAATATATTATAGAGCCAAAAAGATATATTTAAACCAAATATAAAATTTAAAGGATGACTAAAAAAATTGAGATATGCAAAACACTTTTTAAACACTAATTTATTGAAAAACACAACTTTGTAAACCTTGTTATTTAATTTTCTCAAATTTTAGAGATGTTTGTATAAATTATTTTCTTAAGTTCAACAAGGGTTCAACCCTTGTTGCTAATAAAAAAAATTTCTTACTAACAAATTATTTTTGTTTTATATGATAGAGATGTTTGTTGCAGATATTGTATTTCTTATTAATAAAAAAAAAATCTTAAAAAAAAGCATTTTTAATGAAATGAGCAATATATGTCTTTTCTTCTTCTTCTTTTTTTTTTTTAAGAAAGTCTTAACTGTAATTTAAAAAGTCATTCTTTCAAAAATGATATAAATGTAACCTTTATAAATGTTAAGTAATATTATAGAATGATAGTAACCTAGAAATTGTTTTACTGTGCACATTGCGACTATTCCTCCAAGTTCAATATCAAATGATCATTGGTTTGGTGGTTTGGAATTATTCCCCCAAAAAAAAAAAGGTAGCTTCCACCCGAGTCCAAATCTCTGCCCCCAACGAAGGGTTGGTGGAAAAAACACAGCTGTAGCAAACAATGCTATAACTGTTGAACATGCAAAATGTCAAACACAATTAAAACAACAAATAGCAGACAAATAAAGGTGTTAAACTACACGTAACACTAACAGAGTCAGCCACTATTCCATATGGAATACGAGAAAGATCAAAACAAATATCCATGATCATGACTAACGAAGGCTTTGTAACATGTTTCTTAAAATAAATTCCGGATGTTAGAAACATCCAACCATAAAATTCTCTCCTTGCAAGATCAACACATCACATGGTGCATCATAAATTAAGCCATCAAGATCCTCGAAGTTCGATCCGACTCTACAAGCTAAACAAAGAACCCATAATCCCCAAGGGGAAGCAAAGTTAACCATACTGCAAGACACGAGAACAAAAGTACCAACTAAATGCCACATGTTCCTTAGAACATATCTGTTTCTATGTATGTATATATGTAAATATATCTCAGAGCAGCAATCAACCCCAGAAACATGGAGAGTTGATTCAGTGCATAGAAGTACGAGGAGCACGCGACCGAACTGGTGTCTTTGATGGACTTACCCTGCATGCCAGACCAGACATAAGAATGTTTGAAATGACATAAAAGAGTTCCTAAAGTTTTTAGCACAGTTGAAATCAAAGATAAATAAATCTATGAATCCAACCTTATGGGCAGTGAACCCAAAATCACCCCACTACAGCTTAGAGCTGCAATTGCACTCTCAGCCTGAAAGAATGAGGAAAATAAAATCTCAGATAACCAAAAAAGAAAAGGCATGGCATAACAAACAACAGTCAAAATATATTTGGAGACAATTGTTGATACTTACATGTAAGCATAACATATAATTCTTAAAAGAAAAAGGAAAACAAATGATTAATTCAAAGACACAGAACTCAATCATTTAAAGCCTTCTTGCATTATGGCATTTTACTAGGGGAGTGAAGTTCGGGATTACACCAGTTTAAGAGAACAAAACCAAATTCACAGATGTATCATACATGGAGATAATTTTAAAACTCACTGAGCCACACACAAAGTACATGGGGCATCATCTTATTGTGTGAGAGCTTCATCGCATTAAAAATAATTTGTAGGGCAAAAGTGATCAGAGTCAACAAGCTTAATAGTGCCACCAATTCAAACCAAGGAAGCCTTGGCACGGATGACTATAATGAAAGATAAACATTGTTGAACCAGAAGTCACTATCATGTGAAAATCCCATTATACCTTGGTTTTAGCAAGCCTAAGTAAGGGGGGGAAAAAACTACCCTTTCATGAACCAAAGTTAGCCCCCATCAAAAAGAATAAAAAATTAAAGCAAATTGATATTGTCTTGCACTACCCTTCACTGGCTACAGTTGCAAAAGCATCCACAGATATGCATCTCTTGACAACAAGATCACTGAAGCATCATACTAGGGAACAATACATGCAAATTGAAATGAGTAACGGAGCATCAAAAACTGTATTTATTCATTTGGATTTCTAAAAGGTGAAAAACATACTAAAAAAACAACAGATCAAAGACTATCAACTGCCTCTTAGAACCTTCCCATACACATCAATTTTCCTATGCTCTCGTAACTCTAATTACACCTTAGAGCCCTAGCTATGTCCTATGCCTGCCATATCAACGGAGTGGATTTTCCACCTACAAACTTCTGCTTAAAACAAGTGACTATAGAGAGTAGAGACAAGCAACTAATTTACTTAGTAAGGCCAAAATTATAGTGATTCCAGTGCACATTCCATGGGCATAATGCATGCAACATCCTTCTCTCACATGCATTCCATGGATGGAGGAGGAAAACGTGAGTTTGAATGTTTTCAAAGAGGATTCGCCACCTAAAGCCATTTGATATCTTTGCCCAACAGATAGGTGTTACCAAGGGGTAGTCAAAATCAAGATCCTACCTAGGATTGGAAAGGGAAGCAAAAGTGCGGAACACATAAATCATGTAGCTGTAACATGGATTGTAAGATCCTACCTAAAATCAAATAAAATTTTATATATATAAAAGACAAATAACCTATAAATCACTAACATTTAAAATATCCAAACAATTATTTTGATATAGAAATATAGTATGACAATAATATTTTTAGAATAAATAATTTTTTAACTTAAATTGTCAATAGATATATAAAATAATTACTTATCCTAGAAAATACAGGAATTTTAGGGGGAAAAAAACTAGAAGGAAAATCTCTTCTTTCGGTTCTGCTCTACCTTCTAGTTGGTTTTGGCACTATCAAGTATAAACTCCAAAGATCTCTTGCTCCAACAGTTCCGTACCTTTTTCTCTTCAAAACTGACTCCCAAGGCCACAACTAATGCTCTTTTGAACCTTGAAACGAAGACCATTGCCATCTTCTCAACCAACCCCCACCTTTTCAAACACAAAAAGCTTAACAAGTGCCACGACAGTGTTGAAATGAAAAAGTAAATAGGGCTCAAAGGTTCTTTTCAGGTGGGTCTTCAAAATAAAGTAGGTCCTTTTCTTCAAAAAAAAGAATTTTTCAGCTGCAAGGTGGGATTTTCTGATACAACTATACCACAATACCCCAATCCTAAGCCTAAGATTGTGTAATCCCACTTATGACACCAGAACGAGTTTTTAGGAGGATTATTGACAGCTAGGAGCAAGGTTGTCAATCTCGAGAGTTTACATAATCTTGTAGAGGTTCCGTAAACTTGAATTGTAAACCCGTATCGTAAACTCATAAGAGTTTACTTATTAAAAAAATATGTTAAAAATACTTAGAAATAACATAATAACTACCATTCAACTCCATATTAAAGCAAAATAGTAAATTGTAATGATAAAGTAGCAAAGTTTAGTAGCAATTTCACATAAGACACAACTAACAAGTTCTTAAAAAAAAAAAAGACCAGAAGAATTTGATCCAATCGCAGACATGATAAAGAACATAGAAAAATGGGACTGGATAAAAAATATATTAGATAGAGAATAAAAAAGGAGAAAGAACACGATTGAGCTAAGATTGAGAAGAACCTTCGTCTTGGTAGTTGATGCGGCTCGCAAAGGAGCATAGATGCAACTCAAACAAAATGACCGCGCGAGGAATGACAAGTCGACTGCGAGCACAATGACGAGTGACTACGATTCTCGGAGAACGACGCACAGAGGAAAAGAAGCAGCGCGGCAAGGATCCGAACGATGCGTGGAGGAGAAGCAGGGCTATGCGGAGGAGAAGCGGTGCGGCGCGGATCGAAATGACACTCGGAGGAGCAGCGACGTGAATGAGAAAGACGTGCATAGGAGAAGCAGTGCGGAGACAATGCCAAAGGAGAGAAGAAAAGAATGAACGAAGAGGGTAAGAAACCCTTAACGAAATGCACATTTTGGGGTTTGGTAAACTCACGGATTTCGTAGTAAACTTGTGATTTCATGTGAGATTACCTGAGTTTGCTCGAGTTTACTCAAAAACAAGTTTACCTCCAAGTTGTCCCGTTTTGCTTCTGTAAACTCGTAATCTTGGACGATATTACGAGTTGTAACTCGAGATTGACAACCATGGCTGGGAGCATGAAAAATCACGTGATCTCGTCAAGAGGATTGCAATTATAACTACCGTAGGTCATAGGTGCAGCACTAAGGGGTATTGATAGAACTAGAATTGTAACAATGAGAAAAAAAGTTATTTTTATCGAATGAAACTAGGGAGAAGCCCCTAGCAAACCAACTGATATGTTGCTCCAGATATTGCGAGGTCTGAATCTACTCCTTACACTGCTTTCTCAATCACCAAAAGTCCCCTATGCTGTTTATAGTTATTCCTGTCTATAGAAATATACTGGTCTACAGTTTATAACTGAAACCCACTCCTAATAGGCCTAATTAGCTGCAAGCACGTTCCCCTTCTTTTTAATATAAACCCTTGTATTACTTTGACCAACTAACCTAACTATTGGGGGTTATCTATCAAAATCACACTACAAAAGCTAGTTGGTGTAGTTGGAGAATCCAAGGCCTTATAAACCCAACACCAGAATCTCATACTTTCAATGCGGGTCTCAAGTCCCATACCTTACAATTGGATCCTAACAGTCAGCCAAGATTCAATTAACCAGTTTTACTTTGACAAAATTTACCATTACAACCAAATTTTACCAATTACAATATTACATTGACAGAATGGCCTCCTTTTAATTTGTGAACAAAATTTCCTACAAAGAAGTAAATAAACATGCCCTTTTGCTATCAAACAACTAAAAGACAAAAAGGTTTGAAAACTCCAGCAAAAGCTAACATCGGAAAAATTTATTTCTCTCTTCCCTATTGATTCTTTTCCTTACATAGAGAAGGGCAGTGCTAGCGAGTAATGAGGAGTTATTGAAACATTTATTGACAAAACCATTTATTGACACAAATTCACCCATAAGAAGCACAAATAGATCGAAGTAAGTAGCTTTAGGAAGGGAGGGACATCGTTATTGCAAATGATAACTGCAAAGCCGGTGGGCAGCACTCAATCTGAGGTTTATAATTTCACAAAAGGACAGATAATACTAAGAAATAGCTAAGAAAACCAGGGTTATGTTATATACACATACAAGGTTGGAAAGCTAAGGAGTAATTACCAGTGTGAACTCAACAAAAGCAATTCGGGTTGAATGATGGTAATCCCCAAGAAGCCTCAACCGTTGAACCTAAATAACACCAAAAAGATGGAAAATATTTTTACAGTGATACTTAAATTCAACAAACAACAAAAAATCAAGCATTGAACTCAGATGATACACCAAAATAATGGAAAATGTCATTTGACATTTAAAATTTAACCAACAATATAGCCTAGGTCCATGAAAAGCTACAAACCTCTCCACAAATTGATTCAAAGAAGTGTTTGACATCAGCTTGAGTAAGCTGCAGCAGTAATAAGATAGGAAATTTGAAGAATTGAATCATAATTGTAGCAAAACAAAAGTGAAAAATGACAGAATAGTTCCTGAGATAATAAGAAAAGGTAAAATCGTAAATTACCTTCTTATCGATATTTGTGCAATAAATTGTTCTTGAACACATCTCCCTTTCATCTTCAGACTGAGAAATATAGCACCATTAGAAAGGTCAGACAAGACAGATGCATTATCAGCCACTCTAATCAATCATGTTCTAAATGTAATAGGCACCTCTAACAAAGAAACATTACCCTGGGCAAAAATGTTGGATTAACAGGTGCAATAGCAGTTTTTGAAGGTAGCACTCTCAACGGATAATATCCAAGCATGGTTCCAGACAGGTTCAAAGCAGCCCTTGCACCTTCTGCAAGCACAGCATTGTTAATACAGTGAAACGTCAATAATAATTACAGCTTATGAGCAACCTACATTTGCCGGTCATGTTACCTTCATCTGTAAACTCAATAAAGGCAAACCGAAGAATAGAATTAGGATCCCCACATACACGGCAATCAACAACCTATAACAAGGAAAGTGGGGTTGATTCAATCAATAACACAGTCAACAACTATTGAGAAGGAAACAACGTCGTAAATGAACTGTAACTGTTTCTACCTGGCCACAGTTAAGAAAGAGCGCAGCCAGCTGCTCTTCGGTGACCTACATTACAACAAAAAAACAATAAGTCTTTGAATGAATACACGTGGCAAACATTGTAACGACTAACAATTAACAACAGAATCCACACAAAAGCGAAAATTTGTACCAGTTGATCAATGTCAGACACATAAACAGTCCTCCTAATCATCTCTTCTCTTTTCTCCATATCTATTTTATGATTCACTCTTCGCTTCCCATGATTATAGCCATTCTTCCTCTGCAAGACATCATCATCATCAACATACTAAGAAGAGTGAAAACATGGTACTGAAAATCAGTAATAAATAAATAACCAAGGAGATCAAAACAATTCATCCATACCCTTCTGTTAGTTTGACCGTTAGCATTACCAAAACTATTGAGCAATATAAAATTATTAGGGTAACCAAACCCAGCACCACCAGCACCAGGTCCAGCTAGGTAACCATGAGTATTGGTTAATGATGGAGGCACAAATTCCTCGGCCATGGGATTCAACTTTGACAAAAGTTCCTCCAAATCCCTCATATCTCGCTTGAAACTCTCACTCCCATTCTCACCACTCCTCTCCCCATTCATCCCATAGCCATCATTGTTCACCCCATTTGAGTGCATCTGACCCATTTGTACCGTGTAGTTATAATTGCTATTGGGCACTGTCATAGTGCTAGGAACTCTATCTTGGTGGTTGAATACACCGTTGTTCAGCTTCTGATCGCCGCTGATGGACCCAGTTCTAGGTTTCGATTTCTCAACCTCGCCTGAGTCCGATGACACGACACTGTTGTCCAAATTTTGACTGGAAGAACCGATTTTGGCCCCAACATTATCAGCAACAGCCATAATCACTCGTTTAGGGATAAAAATGTTGTCTTTTTTATTCCTCCGCAATCAGATTTTTTCCGTGAATCTGTATCAAGAGATTAGTTAAACAAAAAGGAGAATTGACCCCGAAAATCACGTTTGAAAAAGAAAACATACCCGAGTTCTGCCTAAAAAATTTCCATTCATAAAAGATCAAACTGAGAAGATCGTCAGGTAGAACTGCTTTAAAACCCCACAAGAGAAAAATTGTGAATTGTGATGTTATTATAGATGTAAAGGAAAGCGAAAAATTGGTGAAAGAGAAGGAGGTTTATCTTACTGTCACTGACGAGGAAGAGGAAGATGAGGATTATGGTAGAGAGAGATGAAAAGGGTTTTCTTCGAATCGTCCGTTTCGCTGCACTGACTTTTTGGACCTTCCTGAGAAGAACGTCCCAATTTGATGATGATGAATATCATGATGAACGTATCAAACAAATAAAATAAAATAAAAATGGACCCAAATTTTCGTTAATTTCCATAACTGCCCATTCACACATGACATCCATCATACATTGGATGCAAGGGCATCGCAAGGATACATGGTAAATCCAACAAAAAGTTGGCATGGATTTGACAATGTTGTTTAACTAAAGTTTTAGGATAATGAAATTTAGAGAAATTATTATCGAAAATTGTTGTCAAATATTTATAAATTCTCACCTTTTCTTTTACTTTTTTCACGTCGAAAATGATAGGTTGCAAAAGTTTATTTGATATCCATTCATATATTATATGTGTGTAGTATGTGAGAGGGGCTTTTAGAAGGTATTCCTTTAATTGTGTTTTTGAGTTTTTGGAAAAGATTTATTTAAATGAAAGTATTTCTATAACTTTTTTTTTTGTTGAAAAACATCTAACATGTCATATTTTAATATTATATATATATATATATATATGTATATATTATTAATAAAAGTGATATACTTTTTATGTGTAATTTTTATTTACTATTTTACTCATATAATTTGAAGTATTTTTTTTATTTAATTTTTATTAAATTTTCTAATTATTTATCCAAGACTACTCACATTGTTAATCCTTTTTATATTTAACTTCAATTATTTTTATATTTATTTTATTTTTAAAATTTTTATATCTTTTCATTGTTAACTATCATTATTTAAAATAAAAATAAAAATATAAAAAATATTATAAAAAAAACTCTTTAACACTAGTTATTAATGATAAAGGTAATATATCTTTTTTGTATTTTTTTTTTTTGAGTAATTTATATTTGTAACTTTTAAAACACTTTTCTTCTCTATGTTTTTTTCTCTTACTTTGCTTCTACCATGTTTGTTTGTAAATTTATTTCTTAAATTCCTCAAACTTTGTAATTAATTACTTAAAATAGCTCTCTAGTTGTTAGAGTCGGTCTAGCCCAATCTAGCATAGGTTGCTCAAAAAATGGATTGACACATTCGACTTATTTTTGGGTGAGCATATTAAAAATGAATTTGGCCCGATCTATCATAAGATTAGTGAGTTAAATGAGTTGACTCACTTTAAATTTTAAAAAATAAATAAATAAATTTATTGAACTTAATAAAAAAACCTCTTATATTTTTATATCTTAAAATTACAACTGTATTTTTTTTCTTCCAAAAATACAACTACGTTAACAATAGGAGAAAAAATATATCAAAATATAGGCACAAATTACAACCAACTTAATCAACTTATGATATCAAAGTAATGACATCAATTATTAGTAAATAATATCAAATTGACACTAATTATCATAATACGTAACTAGCATATATAAAATTTAGTCAATGTTATAAATATATAATTACTTAAGCTACCATTTGAAAACCAAGAAAATAAGTAAATAAATTAGGTGAATCATCCCATGAGTTATTACAATGTTTAGGGTTTAGGGTTGTAAGTTGGCTAAACCAATTTTTTCTTATAATTAAAATGAACCAAATTTTATGGCCCTATTACAATGTGAATTTTAATTATGTATGTTAATTTTATTGATTTAATTGATGTTGTGATTAGTTGTTAAATAGTTGTATAACTCTAAGGATTAAAGATCTCTTATTAGTATAGTTGGTTAAGAGTTATTTTGAGTCGAGGTCAAAGTTGTTCAAGTTTAAGAGAAGATATATATAAGATTTTTTTTAAGACTTAAACTTCATAAGTTAATTTCTTAAGAAAACTTAGAAAGAAGTTGGAGAGAGAAGCTCTAGAACTAAACAAATTTCCTTCTTATTCTGAGTCCCCAAAGAGTTTTAGAGCCTTAACTTGAGTGAGGTTGAGTAGTTGTGTAGAGATTTAAAGCTTCTAGAGCTAAGAATCAAGGACCATAAAGTGGTGGTGCGGAGTTTTCTCTAAGGGTCTCATTTGTCTCTTTTTCCTCTGTTTTAGGTAATCGAAGGTAGGAGAAACTTATGGAGAATAGATATATACTAGAAGAGAGTTGAATAGTGTATCAAAAACTCATTTTTTCAACTGGTGAAGTAGTAACACTAGCAATAAAAAGTGTAGAAGAAAAGGCAGACAAAATAGACTAATTTTTATTCTAATTCATCTTAACCACCAAGACTACGTCCAGTTTTCAATCTAATTAGATTGAATTTCACTATCTTAAAAAGATACGAGTATTCTTTCAACAAGGCACTTTTGACTCAAACATAAGTGTTCTTTGAATTGACTCTTCAAGCAATATACCCAAGTATTATTTTAACACAAAGTCTTTCTAGGCTTCAACACCAAGTATTATTTTACAATCAAGCCTCTCTAGGCTCAAATGAGTATTCTTTTACAAATAAATCTCTCTAGGCTCAACCAAGTGTTCTTTTACTAACAAGTCTCTTTAGGCTCAAATGAGTATTCTTTTAATAGACAAGTCTCTCTAGGTTCAACCCAATAAAAATAGTAATATCTAGGTAAAATCTTACAAATGTTGTTTTGTCTTACAAACAAGATGTAATACAACTAATTAAGAACAATATCTTTACAAAAAGAATGAATAATAATTTGTACAAGAGTTCTTCAACAATCTTCATCTTTATGTTCTTGAAGTTCCTTATATAGTAGCCTCGATGAAGATAATCATTGCTAAAAGAGTGTAGAAGAAAAGGCAGAAGAAATAGACAGTAATTGTTATACTAGTTCATCTTAACCACCAAGACTATGTCCAGTCTTCAATCCAATTAGATTGAATTCCACTATCTTAAAAAGATACGAGTATTCTTTCAACAATACACTTTTGACTTAAACCTAGGTGTTCTTTGAATTGCCTCTTCAAGCAATCTACCCAACTATTCTTTCAACACAAAGTCTTTCTAGGCTTCAAACCAAGTATTATTTTATAGTCAAGCCTCTCTAGGCTAAAAAGAATATTATTTTACAAATAAATCTCTCTAGGCTCAACCAAGTGTTCTTTTACTAACAAGTCTCTTTAGGCTCAAATGAGTATTCTTTTAATAGACAAGTCTATCTAGGTTCAACCCAATAACAATAGTTATATCTAGGTAAAATCTTACAAATGTTGTGTTGTCTTACAAACAAGACGTAATACAACCAATTAAGAACAATATCTTTACAAAAAAGAATGAATAATAATTTGTACAAGAGTTCTTCAACAATCCTCATCTTTATGTTCTTGAAGTTCCTTATATAGTAGCCTCGATGATGATAATCATTGCTAAACCTTAAGAGTTCCTTATAAGCTTATTTCGTTTGTCTTTGTTACGAGTCCCTTGAGATTAAAGGTGTCCGTTGAAGAATTAAATTCATGAATTAATTTCATTTTACCAAATTTTCATTTCTTATATGATCGAGGAGGCTACTTATTAGTTTTAGGATACCAAACGGACTTTTTGTGGCGTGTGTTAGTGAAGAACATGTTTTCCATAAACTTTTACTAACTTTTTCTGTGATTTCAATGATCCTTTTGTCATTGTTTCTTGTGCACAACATGACTTCATTCACTTTAACAAATTTATGATTTTTAATGAGTTTTCCTTGTTCAATCTGTTAAGAAATTGATTAGTCATGCACAAAGTAGTCATTACTTATGATAAATCATACACATTTACAGATTTTATGAAGTAAGACTGTATGTTTCATCTAATAACACATCGTTTCTCTAGAGGTTGGTGTCTTATGCTTCATCTAATTTGTATTTCATAAAAATATTTTCCTTTTAGAAAAAAATATTTTGTTTGTTATCATTAAAACTTGAAAGTTTTGAGGAATCTAAGATTGTCTTTTGACCTAACAAAGCTCTTGGATTTTCGTTGTTGAATTGTTTGTTGAATCCTTGCTTGAATTATGAACTTTCATGGTTGTGATGGTTGATTTTGAAATGGAATTTTCTTGAGTTGAGTTTTTAAATGTTTTTTTTAAGAAGATGAAAATGTTATACTTTAAGCTATTGGTGGGGTGCATGTTGGAATTTATGATGTATATGAGTTGATTATGATGAATGGTTGCACTTTCTAGTGTTTCATTTTGCTTTGGACTGAATTTTAGGTAAAGAGAGCTAAAATCTTGATTCTGCCAATTGCAAAAATTACTATCACAGCAAGCACAAATTCATGGCATCGAGCGTGATGCAAGTTAAAGGTTCTCTGTCTCATTAACACCAAGTGTGAAATTGGTAGCATTGAGCATGAGTTAGAGGAGAGCTCTTTGACTTGGTCACATCAAATCTAGGTTGAAGAGCATTAGACATGATTACTTTGAAGGCTCTCTGACTTGGTGACATCGAGCCTTAGTTTGAATGACATTAGGCGTGATAAGGGTAGTAGCTCTTTGCCTAGACAACATCGGACACAAGCTAAATGGCATCAAGTGTGGGTTAGACAAAGGCTTTGCCTAAGTAAGGTCGGGCGTAGGTCTAGTTACGCCAAGCATGATTAATACAAAAGTTCATTACCTAATCCGCATTAGACACGAGTGAAATGGTACCAGGTGTGGGGGAGCTAGAGGCTCTTTGCCTTAATGATGTTGAGGTTGGGTTACCACATGAAAAAATTGATTTTTATTTGATTAAGTTTTAAGCATGTGTTGACTAAATTGAAGTACTCGTATGATGTATATTGATATATGATTCTAGTTCATTAAACATTGATTTGGGCTTATGTATAATGATGTTTAAGTTGCTTACAATTAAAAGTTAAGTTTTAGTAGAGTTATATAAAGTGTAAGATTGAAAGTAACTATGTTATGAATGCTTAATGCATGTAGTTGCACTATTTTGATTGACTTAGGACTAAAGGAGAGGTGTTGTTTTAAAAAGGTGAATATCCTATTGATGGAGTAGGCAAGTGAAGTGAATGAGATTCTTCCTTTTCCTTCTCCAAGAATCACGATCTTCTTCCTTGAAACTTGATTCCGGATTGATGATCTAGAATTGAAGATGAATTTGAGAGAACCTAAGCTAAGAAGGAAGTATTCTAGCAAGGTTCACAAAAGA